AATTAGCCAGAAATGAAGGTGGAAGAGCATCTGAAGGGTTTGTTCCTGAGAGAAGAATCCATCCAGACTGAGCATTTCGTCATCTTCTTCCATCCAGTTCTTCCCATCGGCTTCAGAGTATCTTGGTTCTCAACTTTCTGGACATGGTCATACAGCCGTTTCTCTGCTCGCTCCTCTACTTGCTTCATCACAGCTCACGTCCACTTCTGTCTGCACATGGAAAGGAATGTCCTTCTCTAACTTCAACATCATAACGTTGTACAGTTGAGGAAAGGTGAAGAGTGAGAGGATTGGCCAACTATGAAGTGACAAAAGTTCAGACATCTCTTGCAATGGAGAACACAAGTTCTTGAGGTCAACATTGTCCGTATTTATTATCATATCTCTGCTACTGTAATAAAATGTTATCTCCTTCAGATGTGATAGAACCTTCTGACCAGGAGGCAGTCTGTGCAGGACTGTCTCACAAATAACAACAACACAAAACAGCTTAAAAGGGCCTCATTTATTTATTTATTTATTTTACAATTTTGTAAACAACCACTCCTGATTAAACTGGATGTTAAACAGTGAGATGATTATAGGAGCTGATTTTAGCCAGAAATCGATCAGCAGTGCAGTAAAATGGTTCCATCCATCATGGCCGCCTCTCTGGCTTCAATGCGCCTCCAAACTCAGAGGGAACAGAATTCCATGGAACACCGGGACCAAGAAGGTCTGGAGGTCAGTCAGAGCTTCACATCCTGGAACATCAGTCAGTTTAGCTACAGCTAGTGGTGACAACTTCTTCTTCTGCACGGTAATGCTACAGGCGGCTTCCCTGCTCTGCTGCCACCATCTGGTGAATTCCAGTACTGCACATTTTCCTCAGCTCAGCTCAGAAGCGAGATCCAGGGCTCTGGGGGAAACATGCGGGGCTGCAGCCCTAGTAACCCCTAGAACCTTGGAGGACGGCATCTCTGCAGTGGAACCTTGGAGGGCAACATCTCGGTGGCAGTGGAACCTTGGAGGGCAACATCTCGGCAGCAGGAACCTTGGAGGGCAACATCTCGGTGGCAGTGGAACCTTGGAGGACGGCGTCTCTGCGGCAGGAACCTTAGAGGACAGTGTCTCTGCAGTTGGAGACTTGGGGACTGCCCACTGTGGCACTGGAACCTCTGGGGCTGCCCGCTCTGAGGCTGGAGAGGGAACACTAGAGGACTCTGAGACTGGAGAGGCGACACTAGAGGACTCTGAGACTGGAGAGGGGTCACTAGAGGACTGTGATTGGAGAGGGAACACTATGTCTCAGACAGAGTCCATCTAGTTTCATATCTCAATGAAAGTAGGTTTGATTTCAACTTTTGTAGGGACAGTATTGGTCTTCAGTTTCATAGGTCTGATGTCATTGGTCCTATGCAGAAATATGCATGCTCTGTTTTATGCTCAATGTGAGCATCAAGGCATCATTTTGTTTAAAGGGGAACGCTGTTTTTTTTCCATTGGATCCTTGATTTTCCGTTATTCCATCATGTTCTACTCTCCCATATGAGTTTAGTGTCATTTGGAGCCGTTCTGAAGATATTCCGTTAGGTTATATCCAGTAACGTCTTCCTATGGGCAACGACTTGAAGGCACAAACTAAACTGTTCATCATTTATTCTTTATGGTACGCCAGCATTCAGAACATGGAGGCCAATCACTGTCCCCCAGACATCCAGGGTTATATTTTTTATATTTATATGTTTTTTTAAAAAGCGTTGCGTGTATGATGTCATCCGCGCGGTGGACTGTAGTAGTGACAGGCAGCCCGGGCCGCAGGCGGCTACGCTCTACCCCTTCTATTCATTCTAGCTCATCTGAATGGTTCATCTGGAGAGCGAGATCATCTGTGGTAGCAGCACTAGACATCTTCCAGGCATGAGAGGAAAACTAGCAGCAGTTCAGCGGACAGGAGGAATGAACGGTAGCAGGCGCGTGTGCATGATGTCATACACACCCCATATATATATATATATATATATATATATATATATATATATATATATATATATATATATATATATATATATATATATATATATATATATATATATATATATATATATATTTTTTTTTTTTTTTTTTTTTATAAATATATATATATATATATATATATTTATAAAAAATATAACCGCGGATGTCTGCGGCGATCCAGCCACTCACGCCCGTCCGTTCCTCAATGACGAACAGTTGGAGGATAGCTATCTGAGCGGGTTTATAGGCTCATCAGATAGCGTTCCCCCCTGATGTCATTTACGTTGAGTTGCAATAAATGCTAAACTCTCTGCAGGTTCTTGTCTTTGTCGTCCGCTCTATTCAGCTGGCTTTGGAAACACACGGCGAGAAGGTGGGGCGGGGTGGGGAGGGTTACGGGGGCGAGAAACGCAAAAGTAATGCAATAGTTACTCTTACTAGTAACTAATTACTGTTCTTGTGGAGTAACACAGTAACTCAGTTACTTTTTGAGAGAAGTAACTACTAATTCTAACTAATTACCTTTTCAAAGTAACGTGCCCAACACTGTCTATAAAAGAAATAAAACCTGTTATTTATACCTGAACTGCTGACAAAAATGAAAACATTAATAGAAAAGAAATATTGCTGAACAGAAATGTTGATAGTTTACAGTCTGAGTCAGACAGAACTCCTGTCTGACTCAGAATATAAGTTTACTTATATTTCCAAAATCTCTCCTGCTTCTTCAAAGATCTGCAATCAGAAGCTTTCGCCTATTTTAGCCTAGATAATATTTGTTTTTTTAATTGGGAGTTGTTTCATAGCCTAATATTAGTTTTGGTAATAACAGTATTTTAGCGTCATTTGGTTTTTTATGTGCGCTCCAAGCACGCGCACATAAAAAACAAGCAATCAGAAAGAGAGAAGGAGGAACTTAAGACAGAAAAATCAGAGAGTGGAGTTAAACAGCACAGTTGATGCGCTGCTATAGGAAAGAGCAGCTGCAGCTACCAGGCAGAGGAAAAGAAGCAACTGCAGCAACATCACTGGACTGGAAATTATAAACATGTTGCTCATATTGAATTATTGGTAGGGACAATTAGGTTGTTATGCAAACCTACGGCCGTCCCTTTAATGTGTTATTTTGCTTTGTTTCATGATACAGAGAGCAGCTGAGATAAAAGGTTAAGAGTTAGGGTTAGGTTTACCTTTGTTTACCTCTGAACAATTCTATATGTGCAAAAGAAAATACAGAATAAATCCACATACAACAGAATTACATTTGGTTAAAAAGGCAGGAATTTACCTTCTGTTTTAGTTCAAATGCAAACCTTTTCCAAGAGGAAAAAAGTTATTCAGATGAATTATTTTATACAGTAAATCATCTAATGTTAAAAATGATGATTCGTTATCAAAGACAACCACGGCGGTGGGTGCGATATTCCTGTTTGTCAATGAGTGAATAGTTCCGGCCTCCAGATTGGGCCCGAAATACGGCCTGGAGTCACAGATTGGGACGTGCTTCAACGGCAAGTCACGCCCCCTCTTTGGTAAACCACGCCCCCTATGTGGCGAGCCATGCCCCCTATATGGCTAGCTACGCTCCCTCTATGGCGAGCCCTGTTCCCCCCTATTGCGAGCCCAGCCCCCTCTATAGCGAGCAACGTCCCCTCTATGGTGAGCCTTGCCACTTTTTTTGCGAGCCACGCCCCATCTATTGCGAGTCACGCCCCCTCTACAGCAAGACACGCCCCTCTTTGGTAAACCACGCCCCCTATATGGCGAGCTACGCTCCCTCTACAGCGAGCCCAGCCCCGTCTATTGCGAGCCCAGCCCCCTCTATGGTGAGCCAAACGCCCTCTACAGCGAGCCCTGTCCCCCCCTACTGCTGGCCACTCCCCGTCTAATGCGAGCCACGCCCCCTATGTGGTGAGCCAAACGCCCTCTACAGCAAGCCTTGCCACTTTTATTGCGAGTCACGCCCCGTCTATTGCGAGTCACGCCCCGTCTACAGCAAGCCACGCCCCCTCTGCGGCGAGTCACGTCCCCCACAACAGCGAGCCCCATCTCAGTCTGCGGTGTGCAGTCAGGGTCAGTACTCGGTCTGAGGCGGTCTAGCTGCTCTAGTCTGGTCTGTTTGGTAGAAGAAGAAGTCAATCAAATGGAAACCAGTCGGTTTAAAGCACTTTAATGGATATTAGAGTTTCAACATAAAGATAATGACAGGAGTTAGTGGGTTACTACAGGACATTCAGATTAAAATGTGATACGGCTCTCTTCATCATCTTCATCAACCGTGTGACACTTCATCCATTCTCAACATCCTAATGATTTCAAAATAAAGTAATTTCCATATCGCTGTATTTAAATAAATACCTTAAACAAGCAAACGTAAGCAGCAGATCCAGGTAATTCATATGATAGAGTAACATTGATGATTCCTAACATGACGTCAGGAGAGGAAGCTCCTCCCATCCTCCGCATGCTCATAGATACAGAGAGGGTAGATTCTCACATACATCCTGTATATGATGATGATGATGATGTCATAGTCAAGTAAAATCAAGCAAAGCTGATGGGATTTATTTGATATGTTCAAGTTTGAGCGTCTGCAGGAATCCATCCATCATAATGAGGTGAACCAGCCAGACCTGAGAGCTGGAAACACTTCAGATTAACTTCCACCTCGTTGGTTTAAGGCCCTCTGAAAGTAGCTTATAAAAATATTTCTCAGAGTTAACGTCACTCTGGTAACACAGCTCCTTAGAATCGGCCTGTTGTGGTTCCTTATCCACTTCCTGTTTGCATTTGCTGATTCATGGCTTTGAAACAACCTCACAGATTTTACGGCCTGAAAATGAGATGAAGTCAAATAAAAGACAAGCAGGTGTGGATTTGCTCTCGATCAGATCCAGAAGAACTCCAACGAGGGAGTGGAGACCGTCTGTAGCCCGTCTTTGGCCTCGACATGCTTCAGCAGTCCTCAGCGAGGCTACGGTCTAAAACCAGCAAACGGCAGCTAAAGGTTGGACCGACTGGAGACCACAAACCAGCAGAAGCACAGAGAAGCTGGAGGACGGCCGGCGTTAGGAGGGGACTGAGGGGGACGATGGACCTCACAGGAGGCCAGAAAAACACAGACCATGCAAACACTACCCCCCCATCCAGGTGAGATCATGGAGAAGAACAGGCGGCATTTTCAAATGTCCAACTGGTGCATATAGATGTTGCAGACTTTCAGTTCTGCTTCCTTCTGGATTAAAGCTTAGACCTGGCTTAAACTGGATCTAAAACAGACGAGCCTTCTTCTTCATGTCATTCTTCTTCCACAGAGCCAGCCGGTCAAACTGCTCCAGCGTCATTCCAAACACCTGCTGGAACTCATCTGGGGACAAATGTCTCTAAGGAGGGAAGAAGAAACATATTGAGAAAAGCTTTGTGGCAACATTTGAAATGATCCTCAAATAACCAAAAGAAAAAAGCTCCTCAGCCTTGAAGGGAAGGTCTGAACCAAAAACCTCCAAACATAGAAACTAACTAGATGTTTGAAAGACAGAACAAACTGTTCAGTCTACAGCGAAAACAATAGACCATCAGAGAACCTGATGCACACTATGCTAGGCAAGGCTTGGCTGGGCTAGGCCAGGCTGAGATAGGCCAGGCTGAGCTGGGCTAGGCTGAGATAGGCCAGGCTGAGATAGGCTAGGCTGAGCTGGGCTAGGCTGAGATAGGCTGAGCTAGGCCGGGCTGAGATAGGCTAGGCTGAGCTGGGCTAGGCTGAGATAGGCCGGGCTGAGATAGGCTAGGCTGAGCTGGGCTAGGCTGAGATAGGCTGAGCTAGGCCGGGCTGAGATAGGCTAGGCTGAGCTGGGCTAGGCTGAGATAGGCCGGGCTGAGATAGGCTAGGCTGAGCTGGTCTAGGCTTGGCCAGGCTGAGATAGGCTAGGCTGAGCTGGGCTAGGCTGAGCTGGGCCAGGCTGAGATATGCCAGGCTGAGCTGGGCTAGGCTGAGCTGGGCCTGGCTGAGCTGGGCTAGGCTGAGCTGGGCCAGGCTGAGATAGGCCAGGCTAAGCTAGGCCAGGCTGAGATATGCCAGACTGAGCTGGGTTAGGCTGAATGGTCTATGCTAGACAGGTATGGGCTATGCTAGGCTCGGGCTCAGTTAAACTGGGCTAGGCTAGGCTGGGCTAGAATAGAAAAGAACGGAAATAATCCTGACATAATTAAGGACTTTCATTAAAAATAATTCTACACCATATATTTCTATAAATGTTCTAAACTTGAACTCATTTCTCTCGTCTGAGATCAGGTCAGAAGAAACGTTTCCTGTTCAGAGTCGCTGAGGAATAACCAGATTATTACTGGATTAGGCGACTCAGATTAAACGTTCTACGAAAGGAGGGAACCAGGTTCTAACGAGTTTGTAGAGAACATCTGTAGCTTTCTGAACAGATGGATTTCTAGAACAGATGGATCTATTTCCCACAGTTCTGAAGAGGATTAATGTCGCAGAGTAAGAACTGGATTTGAACATGAAGCCACCAAACCTGAAGATCTGGAGACCAAAGAGAACGATCCAGTCGATGTTTAAAGATTCAGACTTTTTCTTTGATGCGTCTCTTAATGGGTTAATTAAAATATGAACCTTCAGGGATTAAGTTTGGTTTAATTACAGCAGCTAGAAGTTAAAAGTTTTTCCTCCAAAAGCTGCGGTCAGTTTCAGAGGATCTCCTGCATCATAAACACTTCAGACCGATCCAGACGACTCCTCCTGGTCAGCAAAGCTCTGAATGAAGGATGAAACCATCAGGGTTGCATCAACAGACCCAGATCTGCTGCCTCCTCCAAAGTCTCCACAGGGATGGAGGCGGAGCAACAGGAGGCGGAGCAACAGGTGGCGGAGCAACAGGAGGCGGAGCAACAGGAGGCGGAGCAACAGAAGCAGAGCAACAGGAGGCGGAGCAACAGGAGGCGGAGCAACAGGTGGCGGAGCAACAGGAGGCGGAGCAACAGAAGCAGAGCAACAGGAGGCGGAGCAACAGGAGGCGGAGCAACAGAAGCAGAGCAACAGGAGGCGGAGCAACAGAAGCAGAGCAACAGGAGGCGGAGCAACAGGAGGCGGAGCAACACCAACAGGAAACTCATTGAATTGGACATGATGTAACATTGACAGTTTTAATTGTCAGCATGAGTTTCCAAATAAACGATAAAACTCGTTAAATGCTTGAGTTCTTATTCAAGTTGAAATTAAAGCTGCAGTTTAAAGTTTAGATTCTAAACGTGTTTCCAACCTTTATGCTTGTTGATAGGAATCTTTCAGATTCATTCACGGTCTTTGAATCCCTGATCCATTCAGGTTATTTGGCTCCACTGACGTCTACTGACAGTAATGAGGAAGGAAAATGGCCGACAGACAAGATGGCGTCAGCTGCTTCCAGAACCAGAACCTGCTGAGTGGGTCCAGAGAAACGGTGGCTCACCTCCAGCCTGGTGCGATCCACGTCTCTGGGAAGCTTCACTTTCACCTTATGAGTCACTGCCAGCATCTCATAGGGGTAGATCTACAATGGGGGGGGGGGGTCAGTGAGGTCCGATCAGCGAGAATAAAAACAGAATTTATTCCTTAAAGACAGAAAAATTTCTTACCTTGAACTCTGAAAGGAGAGAAGAAAAAGAAAGAAAATCAATCAGCTGATTGAGAACAATAGCATGATTAATGATTAATTACCAGATAATTAGCCACTGATTAATGATTAATTACCAGATAATTAGCCACTGATTAATGAATAATTAACAGATAATTAGCCATTGATTAATGAATAATTACCAGATAATTAGCCACTGATTAATGATTAATTACCAGATAATTAGCCACTGATTAATGAATAATTAACAGATAATTAGCCATTGATTAATGAATAATTACCAGATAATTAGCCACTGATTAATGATTAATTACCAGATAATTAGCCACTGATTAATGAATAATTAACAGATAATTAGCCACTGATTAATGAATAATTAACAGATAATTAGCCATTGATTAATGATTAATTACCAGATAATTAGCCACTGATTAATGAATAATTAACAGATAATTAGCCATTGATTAATGAATAATTACCAGATAATTAGCCACTGATTAATGAATAATTACCAGATAATTAGCCACTGATTAATGAATAATTAACAGATAATTAGCCATTGATTAATGAATAATTACCAGATAATTAGCCACTGATTAATGAATAATTACCAGATAATTAGCCACTGATTAATGATTAATTACCAGATAATTAGCCACTGATTAATGATTAATTACCAGATAATTAGCCATTGATTAATGAATAATTAACAGATAATTAGCCATTGATTAATGAATAATTACCAGATAATTAGCCACTGATTAATGAATAATTACCAGATAATTAGCCACTGATTAATGAATAATTACCAGATAATTAGCCACTGATTAATGATTAATTACCAGATAATTAGCCACTGATTAATGAATAATTAACAGATAATTAGCCAATGATTAATGAATAATTACCAGATAATTAGCCATTGATTAATGAATAATTACCAGATAATTAGCCACTGATTAATGAATAATTAACAGATAATTAGCCACTGATTAATGATTAATTACCAGATAATTAGCCACTGATTAATGAATAATTAACAGATAGTCATTGATTAATGAATAATTACCAGATAATTAGCCACTGATTAATGAATAATTACCAGATAATTAGCCACTGATTAATGAATAATTAACAGATAATTAGCCACTGATTAATGAATAATTAACAGATAATTAGCCACTGATTAATGAATAATTAACAGATAATTAGCCACTGATTAATGAATAATTAACAGATAATTAGCCACTGATTAATGAATAATTACCAGATAATTAGCCACTGATTAATGAATAATTAACAGATAATTAGCCATTGATCAATGATTAATTAAATAATTACCAGTCAATTAATGGCTAATTAAAAATAATTAATAATCAATTCATGATTAATTAAGAAATAATTAAAGATCAATGAATAATTAATTAACAAATAAATAATAATCAATTAATGATGAATTAACAAATAATTAACGATCAGTTAACACATGACTTCATCGTGTGATGAAGATGATGATGTAACAGAACCTTTGCTTCCAGCCAGTGTTCCAATAACTGGACCTTAGGGTCAAACTAACTAGCTAGTACCAGTAAAACCTCTTACTTAGACACTCACCTCGGATGGCCCCCCAGCTCTGGGAGTCTGGATCATCTTCTAGCATCTCAGCAGCCTGCAGGAAACAAAGAGGGAAAACTCAGACCTTCAGAACCAAAACCACTCATTTCACAAGCAGAACTGGTTCCTAAACGGTTCTATAAGAGAACCAGTTTGTCAACATATCTGGTTAGCTTCATTGTTAGCTGTTAGCGCTCAGAAATGCTTCACTGAAGCTCCTGGAACCTCCAGGGGAGGAACTGCTGGATGGACCCAAGCTTGACAGACAATCAATCAATCAATCAATCAATCAATCAATCAATCAATCAATCACTCAAACTTCTTTATTGTCAACTACAATCTACACTCACCGGCCACTTTATTAGGTACCCCATGCTAGTAACGGGTTGGACCCCCTTTTGCCTTCAGAACTGCCTCAATTCTTGGTGGCATAGATTCAACAAGGTGCTGGAAGCATTCCTCAGGGAGTTTGGTCCATATTGACATGATGGCATCACACAGTTGCAGCAGATTTGTCGGCTGCACATCCATGATGCGAATCTCCCGTTCCACCACATCCCAAAGATGCTCTATTGGATTGAGATCTGGTGACTGTGGAGGCCATTTGAGTACAGTGAACTCATTGTCATGTTCAAGAAACCAGTCTGAGATGATTCCAGCTTTATGACATGGCGCATTATCCTGCTGAAAGTAGCCATCTGAAGTTGGGTACATTGTGGTCATAAAGGGATGGACATGGTCAGCAACAATACTCAGGTAGGCTGTGGCGTTGCAACGATGCTCAATTGGTTCCAAGGGGCCCAAAGAGTGCCAAGAAAATATTCCCCACACCATGACATCACCACCACCAGCCTGAACCATTGATACAAGGCAGGATGGATCCATGCTTTCATGTTGTAGACGCCAAATTCTGACCCTACCATCCGAATGTCGCAGCAGAAATCGAGACTCATCAGACCAGGCAACGTTTTTCCAATCTTCTATTGTCCAATTTCCATGAGTTTGTGCAAATTGTAGCCTCAGTTTCCTGTTCTTAGCTGAAAGGAGTGGCACCCGGTGTGGTCTTCTGCTGCTGTAGCCCATCTGCCTCAAAGTTCCACGTACTGTGCGTTCAGAGATGCTCTTCTGCCCACCTTGGTTGTAACGGGTGGTTATTTGAGTCACTGTTGCCCTTCTATCAGCTCCAACCAGTCTGGCCATTCTCCTCTGACCTCTGGCATCAAGAAGGCATTTCCGCCCACAGAACTGCCGCTCACTGGATGTTTTTTCTTTTTCGGACCATTCTCTGTAAACCCTAGAGATGGTTGTGCGTGAAAATCCCAGTAGATCAGCAGTTTCTGAAATACTCAGACCAGCCCTTCTGGCACCAACAATCATGCCACGTTCAAAGTCACTCAAATCACCTTTCTTCCCCATACTGATGCTCGCTTTGAACTGCAGGAGATTGTCTTGACCATGTCTACATGCCTAAATGCACTGAGTTGCCGCCATGTGATTGGCTGCTTAGAAATTAAGTGTTAACGAGCAGTTGGACAGGTGTACCTAATAAAGTGGCAGGTGAGTGTAGATTTGATCATTTTAACTTTTTGTTTTCCAAGTAACGGGTCTTCAGTTTTTTTTCTATTTTTTCCTGCCAGTTTGATGGGGTGGAAGTCTAGCGCCCCCTGCTGACAGGCTGTTACTCTGTGTTATTATTATTAGGTTATCAAATGAAGAACTGATAGAAGCTCAGCCTGCAGCTGATGTTCTCTGGACGAGGCTCACCTTGTAGATGCCGTTCCTTCCATAGCCGGGCAGCGAAGCAGACTTACTGTAGGGGAAATCTAGGAGGAGACAAAATATTCATTTTACTTTTCTTAAACTTTGATCATTGAACATCAAGGTGAAGTGATGATGGTTTCCTCACTTGGCTGAGACACGTTAGTGGGGAGGCTGCAGGTGGATTTACAGGGATCCAGGTCTTCAGCCATCGGACCGTCCATCTCACTCTTCAACATCATCCAGCTGGTTCTCTACAGAGACGGTGAAGGACAGAGAAGAGGAACTGGACACAGTATTCCACAGAAATAATGGATGATGGTTGTTAGTTAATGGATGCTGGAGGACAGATGTGATGCACATGGAGTGTCTGAAGCACCCACCTTGCTATCCTCCCCATCCTGCCAGGATGTTCTAGAAGCTGTAAAAAAGTCAGATGTTTCAGTCAATGCACAGCTTCATGGTCCTGGGAGACAAACTGTCCTGCACTACCGACTCCAGTCAGGCAGGAGCAACACTGCTGCACCACAGGGAGCTTCAGTCCACCAACAGGCTTCAGACCAACAGCACAGAGAAGAAGCTGAATGCTGGTTATACCCCAACAGAAAGGGGACAGATGGAGCACCAGGACACTTTCACATTATAACCTTCTTCTCCGTTGGTCCCCAAGGAGCCTTAAAGAGGGAAACTTCTCAATTTCACTATTAGAAAATAAAGAAAAGTTTTCTAGAGAGCAACCACATCAAAAACCTCCAATTATGAACAGCAACCTCTGTTCTCAACAAGAACATGGTGGAGCAGGTCGGCTGGAACCCACAGAAGGTTCTGGACAATGTGGGACTCTAATGGTTGAATCCTTTTAAATGGGTGACTGGGATTGGCTACAGATATCAGGGGCCATCATCAGCTGACCTTTGAACCGCGGATCTGTGGTTCTGGTCATGGATCTATGGGGATCAGGGTTACTGGGGGCCCTTTGAGGAGGGTCTCTAACAGGATCTCCAGCCCTGGTCCTCCTGATCTTTAGATGCATCCCGGTTCCTACAGCTGAAGCCAAGGAGTCTTCATGCAATCTGGGATGATAAAGGTCAGCCAACGAACCGTTCAGGAATGCAGCTGGGAGTAAGGATGCATCTAAAACCTGCAGGTCATTAGATCTGGAAGACCAGGCCTGGAAACTCCTGTCTGGCTTCAAGGGGTGACACTAAACCATGCCCCCGCAGTCCAGTGGGCCTATCCTGGGAACCAGTATCCCATCCGGACCACCTGGACACCAGAGGAGGACTTGGTCTGGGTTTGGAGGAAATCCTGGAGCCATCCTCTTCCAGGGAGGGGTCTGGTCTCCAAAGTCTGGTTCCCAGTTTGCTCCTTCAGTCAGCATTGAGGGTCAAGTTTCTGTAGGTCTTCCAGGTCTTTGGTAGCAGGTTGAGTTTCTTCATGGTGTGTTTTGAAAAAAAAAACAGCTGAGTCATGATTTTCTGACTCCCATCTTTGGTCGTTAGAAATGGATCCAGGCTGAGAAAAAGATCCTATATACATAAAATTACAATTAGCTTCCTTTGTTGAGACAGGATGGATCATTGAGAGACGGAGGTAGAGAAGTTAAGGCGATTGAGAGATGCATTCTGGGTAACCAACATTTCTACAGTGATGTGCTTCAGAGCCACATTAGTGACTTCTGCATGTAAGACGAGTTCTTCCGTCCCTCAGACATCCAGGCTTCCCTCCTGGAACCAGACCTGGACAAAGTGAAGCTGATGGATGAATCCATGAATTTCTGAGACCAAACGTTGAATGTTGGTGAATCTAATGGGGAGGGGCTCGTCCTGCTATCGGAGAAGCTTGATGGCGTTCTGCAGTTAAAGGGTTAAAAGTTTCAGAACAGCCCTAACCCTCCAACCCTCCATCCTTCTGGGCAGTTTAGTGTTTTACTTTTGGAAACGTTTCCACTCAACTTAAGGAACAGGGCAGATTTCGGGGGGGTGGGACCAATCAGAGTGTTTAGCTGACAGGAGCTTGAAGGTCGTTAAGCTTCTGAATGAGGAGCAGGAACGTCTCCGACACGAAGGTAGAAATAAATGCAAATCTTTGAGGGATCTTTGCTGCGGGGGTTTGATGGCCACGCGTTTGGGTCTGATGGTTGCTCTAAAGAAAACTCCCCAGAATTTAGATTTATAACAATTACACAAATATAAAGAGATAAAGAAATCCTTTTTGGATGCGTGGTTTTTCCTTAGAGGACAGAGTTTTCTTCCCTCTTCTTCCTGAGAAAACAGCTTCAGACCAGCTGCAGCAACCAGCCATACAGCAGAACATTGAACAATGAGACAGTGAAGAGGTCAGCGAGGGTCACAGCCGGGCCTCCAACCCGACCAATGAGCCGCTGAGACGGATGCTAGCATGCGTGATTCGGAGGTTAATGGAGGACAGATGAACCGGTCTGCTCTGAGCGACGGAAACGTGGCTGGAGGAACTTTAGAGCTCCGTTCAACCCGACATCAGGTTGTCATGGAGATTCCTGTCAACCCTCCAACTTTCCACCAGAAACAGCAACTATCTGATTTCTATAACTAGATTGAGAAAACGGTAGATTTGATGGAAGTGATGGTTTTAGCTCAACACTGGAGGTTCAATAAGCAGCTCAGATTAAATAGACGGAAGTTTTTAGGCCATTCTAACCCTTCCACCTCCTGCTGGAAGGTCAACCTCCATCTATTCTCCTCCAGCATCTAACCATCAACTCCAACCAGCAGAGAACAGCCACCCCCAGCATGATGCTGCCACCACCCTGTTATAGATTGAGGAGGCAGCTTTGGTTCCCTTCAGATGGAGTCTGTGCTCATGAAGTATCAGCATAAAGCTGCGTCGCTCTTTTACAGAACCCCGTTTCCTCGATCAGAGCATGAAGGACACCTCAACAAAGGGAGCCACTTAAACCAGAGGAGAACCATGGGGGAAACAAGATGGCCGACATGCAACACATCGTGCAGAGACCAGACCAGAGAGTTAGAGTGGACTGTACCATGCTGTCTGTAGATGGGGGGCTTTCTATAGATATTATCTTTGACCATAGTCTCTGAAGATGGAGCAGAGAAAAGATGGAGGAAGCCAGCATGGGGAAGTGGGGGTGGGGGGGTAAAGGGCGGGAGAGAGAATGGAGAAAAAGAAGCACGAGTCAGCATTTTATTGAAGGATGAACATAAGGGGGGGGGGGCTTCATCTTCATGCAGCCTGTTAGAGAAAACATCTGTCTCTGGAAGATCCTGAGGAGTGATGGATGAGGAGCCTCTGGAGCAGATAGGGGGCGCTGTCCCCAGGAACAGGAACATTTCAGCGGGGGGGGGGGGCAGATCATCCAGGAGGTTTCAGCTCAATAGAATAAACTGATGCTTCATGTTAATGTGACCCTGATGATAATATTCCTCTATTGACACTAACTGACCACTAGAGGGCAGAGCGCTCAGAGTGCGGCCATCTTTAGACTGATTCACCATTGGGTCAAAGGTCAGTCATATTTTCATGGGGGAACAGAGGAAAAGCAGCGATTCCATTTCCTGAACTTCTGGAGCTCAGTGATTGGCCGATCCCTCTGGAGCTCAGTGATTGGCCGATCCCTCTGGAGCTCATTGATTGGCCGATTTTAACCGTCTGGAACGTCCTGATTACGTTTTGCACCTAAAACCAGATTTCCTGGTTTTACAGGTTTTAATCTTTATTCAATAAAATAAGACTGAAACTTTCAGGGTCCTAAAAGAACTGCTGGCCTCTGCTGGACTCTACTGGCCTCTGCTGGACTCTACTGGCCTCTGCTGGACTCTACTGGCCTCTGCTGGACCCTACTGGCCTCTGCTGGAACCTACTGGCCTCTGCTGGACCCTACTGGCCTCTGCTGGACCCTACTGGCCTCTGCTGGACTCTACTGGCCTCTGCTGGAACCTACTGGCCTCTGCTGGACTCTACTGGCCTCTGCTGGACTCTACTGGCCTCTGCTGGAACCTACTGGCCTCTGCTGGACCCTACTGGCCTCTGCTGGACTCTACTGGCCCCTGCTGGACTCTACTGGCCTCTGCTGCACTCTACTGGCCTCTGCTGGACTCTACTGGCCTCTGCTGGACCCTACTGGCCTCTGCTGGACTCTACTGGCCTCTGCTGGACTCTACTGGTCTCTGCTGGACCCTACTGGCCTCTGCTGGACCCTACTGGCCTCTGCTGGACTCTACTGGCCCCTGCTGGACTCTACTGGCCTCTGCTGGACCCTACTGGCCTCTGCTGCACTCTACTGGCCCCTGCTGGACTCTCCTGGCCTCTGCTGGACCCTACTGGCCTCTGCTGGACCCTACTGGCCTCTGCTGGACTCTACTGGCCTCTGCTGGACCCTACTGGCCTCTGCTGCACTCTACTGGCCCCTGCTGGACTCTACTGGCCGCTACTATACCCTAATGGCCGCTGTTGGACCCTACTGGACCCTGCTGGCCCCCGCTGGACACTACTGGCCCCTACTGGCCTCTGCTGGACCCTACTGGCCCCTGCTGGACTCTACTGGCCGCTGCTGGACCCTACTGGCTGCTGCTGGACCCTACTGGCCGCTGTTGGACCCTACTGGTCCCTGCTAGTCCCTGCTGATCCCTGCTGGACCCTAGTGGGCCCTGCTGGACCCTGTCTAGAAGCACATGGCAGCGGCTCCTAGTCAGCTCTGCCCACCAGGGGGACAGGAGCCCAGTTTGAAGCAGAGCGGCTAAAACTTACCTGGTATGTGGAAATGGCGAGGAGCAGCCACGTACGTAGAAGTAGATGACGGGGATTTTCCATCAGAGTAAGTGGATAAGCTGGGGGTGCTGCGGCCGCTTTCACTGCCTCCAATGTAGGAAGGATGGTGAAGATGAGAGGAGAACACAGAGGAAGAACATAAAGTTACAGGAAGTAGAACTAATATTAAGGCATGTTAACCAGGTCTGCTACACGAGTCCTGGCCGAGTTCAGCCTCCTTAAAATCCAAGTCCTGTGAAACTGCTGCTGTTAGGAGGGATTATTCCAAACCCACCAATGGAACGGGCTAGATGGTCACGAATATTCCTAAGTTACCTGATAAAACGTCCTAAAAACAACCATAACCTTCTAAGCAAGATAATAGTTGTGGGATTTATTACATGTAGCCAGAAGCCAACAGAAGCATAAAGACTCGACTACCAAATGTTTGGGACCGATGAAACGCAGGAAGGCTGAAGCAGAACAAACATGGCCGCTTCGGGCTGGAATACCTTCTAGTTGTTTCTGATAAACGAGCAAAAGGACGGCATGTTTTCCTTTGTGGATGGAAGAGATTTTACTGCTGCTGTGATTGGCTAAAGCTCAACATGGGAGACATGAAACACTTGGTGATTCAACCAATCACGTTGAAGAATTGTGATGAATGTCTATCCCTTTAGCAAACACTTCCCCCGAGGCTAACAGATGGTTCATGCATTTGGCTTATGCCACTTTATAAAGGTTGTTTAATCATGGAGTCATGCATCAGCAGCTGAATTAACGGGAAAATTACCTTATTTAATAACAGAACTTTAACTCTGCTGCCTCATTGGCTCCAAAACATGACCTCAGTTATCTTTCTACATGCAAGCAGCCCCAGAGAACAAAGATGGAGGACATGTCTTTCTGTTTTAAAGGCCGATAGATCAAACAATCATCTGCATAGAAGAAGAAAACTGATTAGTCAGTCACTTCATTTGGATTAAACTGATTTCAGATAATAAAGTAAAAATCTTGGTGTTATTTTTGATCAGGACCTGTCATTTAAATCCCATATCAAAGAGGTTTCTAGAATTTCCTTCTTTCATCTGGGGAATATTGCAAAAATGAGCAATCTCCTGTCCAGGGGTGATGCTGAGAAACTAGTCCATGCATTTATTACTTCAAGGCTGGACTATTGTAATTCTTTACTATCAGTAAATAAGTTGAATAAGTTAGCATGATGGTTAGCTCTACGGCGGCTCAAACCATGCAGTGATGAGTCCTCTGGATATTCTGAGGCATCCCGTGAAACTCGGCTACAGCATAAAACCGAACGACAGAAAACCTCCCAATGACTCCACAGTGGGGAGAACGGACGCAGGGAAGAGACGGACTTCTGCGTTTTTACCGCTAGAAGGCGGGAAGCTAAGCTGCGTGGCTCAGGAGGTCCGGGGTCCCGACAGCTTCAGCAGATTCCTGCTTCAGTTAGAAATGAAAGACAATAAGAGAGTAGCTCTGAATGAAAAAAGCTAAGATCCGGAATCTACAGCTGACAGAGAACCACGGAGAACCACAGAGAACCACGGAGAACCACAGAGAACCACGGAGAACCACAGAGAACCACGGAGAACCACAGAGAACCACGGAGAACCACAGAGAACCACGGAGAACCACGGAGAACCACAGAGAACCACGGAGAACCACAGAGAACCACGGAGAACCACAGAGAACCACAGAGAACCACAGAGAACCACAGAGAACCACGGAGAACCACGGAGAATCACGGATAACCACGGAGAACCACGGATAACCACGGAGAATCACAGAGAACCACGGAGAACCACGGATAACCACGGAGAACCACGGAGAATCAAGGAGAACCACAGAGAACCACGGAGAACCACGGAGAACCACAGAGAACCACGGAGAACCACGGATAACCACGGAGAACCACGGAGAATCAAGGAGAACCACAGAGAACCACGGAGAACCACGGATAACCACAGATAACCACGGAGAACCATGGATAACCACAGAAAACCACGGATAACCACAGAGAACCACGGAGAATCACGGATAACCACAGAGAACCACGGAGAATCACGGATAACCACAGAGAACCACGGAGAACCACGGAGAACCACGGATAACCACGGAGAATCACAGAGAACCACGGAGAACCACGGATAACCACAGAGAACCACGGAGAATCAAGGAGAACCACAGAGAACCACGGAGAACCACGGATAACCACAGATAACCACGGAGAACCATGGATAACCACAGAAAACCACGGATAACCAAAGAGAACCACGGAGAATCACGGATAACCACAGAGAACCACGGAGAATCACGGATAACCACAGAGAACCACGGAGAACCACGGATAACCACGGAGAATCACAGAGAACCACGGAGAACCACGGATAACCACGGAGAACCACGGAGAATCAAGGAGAACCACAGAGAACCACGGAGAACCACGGATAACCACGGATAACCACGGAGAACCATGGATAACCACAGAAAACCACGGAGAATCACGTATAACCATGGAGAATCAAGGAGAACCACGGAGAACCACAGAGAACCACGGAGAACCACGGAGAACCACGGAGAACCAGGGAGAACCACGGAGAACCACAGAGAACCACGGAGAACCACGGAGAACCACAGAGAACCACGGAGAACCACGGAGAACCACGGAGAACCACGGAGAACCACGGAGAACCACGGAGAACCACGGAGAACCACAGAGAACCACGGAGAACCACAGAGAACCACAGAGAACCACGGAGAACCACGGAGAACCACGGAGAATCACGGAGAACCACGGAGAATCACGGAGAACCACGGAGAACCACGGAGAACCACGGAGAATCACGGAGAACCACGGAGAATCACGGAGAACCACGGAGAACCACAGAGAACCACGGAGAACCACAGAGAACCACGGAGAACCACGGAAAACCACAGAGAACCACGGAGAACCACAGAGAACCACGGAGAACCACGGAGAACCACAGAAAACCACGGAGAACCACGGAGAACCACAGAAAACCACGGAGAATCACGGATAACCACAGAGAACCACGGAGAATCACGGATAACCACAGAGAACCACGGAGAACCACGGAGAACCACGGATAACCACGGAGAACCACGGAGAATCAAGGAGAACCACAGAGAACCACGGAGAACCACGGATAACCACAGATAACCACGGAGAACCATGGATAACCACAGAAAACCACGGAGAATCACGGATAACCACGGAGAATCAAGGAGAACCACAGAGAACCACAGAGAACCACGGAGAACCACGGATAACCACAGAAAACCACGGAGAACCACGGAGAATCACGGATAACCACGGAGAATCAAGGAGAACCACAGAGAACCACAGAGAACCACGGAGAACCACGGAGAACCACGGAGAACCAGGAGAACAAGGGAAAACCCAGAGAACCCCCGGGAACCAGGATAACCACAATAACCACGGAGAAATGGATTT